CTACAGCCGTACGTTGAGCCAAAACATTATTTGCCACTATTCATTAACCAAAAATGTAATCGGCTTAGCCTGCAATTCTCTTCTTTTTCTAATCAATAACAGGTTCTATTTTTTAACCAGCCCAAGTGCTGTGGCTTGAATATATTTGAAACGGTAGACGAGAAGGTTGTTTTAACTGAATTGGTTTTGTCCTAATATTTAGTGATAGCATATACCAAAATAACCTTTAGCGTTTTCAATAATCTTGTGAAATGAGAATTATATGAAGACGAAGCAGTCATTAAGTCTAGGTTATTTTTAAATGTCTAACATTGTCAAAATTTACCTTTGAAAGATATAATCTTTCAAACACGCGCAAAACTCATTACCTGTTAGATAATTTAAGCAGTTTGAGTGACGTATTAGCAAAGAATGCACTTATAAAAGCGAGTTCCTAACCAAAATTTATTACCAATGTGTCTTATAAACAGAAGACGTGCCGACACTTATGAACAAAAATTGTTTTATTTTAAATACATTGAAAAACACATTAATTGTTGAATAAATCGTGTCGGATTGATGATGTGGTATCAAGGGACATTAACAAACAATGCTAAAGGTAACTCAAAACGACCCTATCTTTTATAAACTCCTTTTAACGGATGTTTTTTTCATAAAAGCGCGTCCCTAACGCACGAGGTCTCGTTCTTGGCATCTGTGCTGGTGGATTTGGTGCAGGCTCCGTTTTCGTGACTCCCATTCAGACGGCGCTCATTAATCCCGACAACATCAAGCCGAACAACGTTACACAGTAAGGTCTCAGTGATCACACTCAGGCTATGTCTACGTTACATTAGCATTAGTAAATTATATATCTCATCGTACTTAAATATTATAAGCAACCTTTATTTTAGCTTCTTTGACGATGAAAAGTTGCTCCAACGTGTCCCGAAATCCCTCGCTATTGTTGGAGCGATCTTGGCTGGGATTCAACTCATCGGGTTCATCTGTGTGCAAAGCCAATCAACGATGGTATCTTCATTGTCTCTTGCTTCTTTTGTAAAGAAAGACAACAGAGATAAGTACCCTTACCTTAATGCAGTGTTTTTTGTGTGGAAATCACTCGATACAACATTCTTCACTTTATCCCAAATTTCGGTAGCGGCCACTTCAATGTCAGCGGGAATTATGGTGTCTAATAAACTTGAAAGCATCTTATTTTAAATACGCGAGTTTTCTGGTCATTCACATAGCTATTGCATAGCTTGAATCTACCAATTACTACTGATTAACCCTAAGTGCCACAAATGCCATAAAATGTTTTACTAACTTGAGCAATCAATTTAGTTGATTACATTGACAGATCTTCATGTTTTAGTACACTTTGGAAGAGCGGGACCAATCACCTGAGACATACGCGTAAGGATATTAATTTATCATGTTGGTTATTGATTTTTCTCCGTTGTCATAAATCAACGACGTAGAGCATTTCAAACCAGCCGCTTTGCCAAGCTAGTTCGTGATTGGCTCATCACAAGGGCCGGAACGTGCACCGATTGGCCCATTCGTTAAACTCGCCTCAATTGGTCTATGCTGGGAGGACAACAACAAATACTTGTCACATAGTGCCCTACATTGAGTAATTTAGAGACTTCAACCATAAGAACTGAGTATACTGGAATAGCTACTGCCTGGACCAAAACTCGTGAAAAGCAAACTCCCGCAGTTTGATTCGTCAGTTCCTTTCATTTAAACTTACATGATTGGTCAAAATAGGATCACGCCCTAGTGGTTACCTCAAGGTCAGGTCAGATGGTGTGTGTAGTTAAAGGAGCACTTCTGCACTCCAGGTTCGAGACCTACGAACCTTCGAAAACTCTGGAAACCGTGGAATTCTACGTGTTGTGGGTGCTCATGTTGTGTGGCACCTTCCCGATGGTTCTTATCATGTCGTTGTACAAGGTAAGTTGATGGTCATTGGCCAATTCGTTTTTACCACGAACCCAAGTTACAAGCAAGTGGTGCAGATTTAAACAAAACTTGGTTTTCAGCATTAGCAACAACGAATGCTTGTGTAACCGCAATTACTATTAGCAACAAGTAGTTTAACAGGTTTTTTCTTTTATTATTGTTATTCTTCACAACCTTCATCTGGGCTCTAGATCATTGGACAAAGGGACATCCACAACGACCAATTCCTGGTGACTGTCGGTAGCCTCGCCTCAGCGGCCAATATGATTGGACGAGTAATGTGGGGCGAACTCGCAGACAAAATCGCCTACAGAGTACGTTGTGTTTGGGGCGTTCTCCTGCAGACGACGCACTTTTACCTTGTAGACACTCATCACGGTCGTTTTTGTGCTGTGGGGCGCAATGCTGACTGGCCTGCCGTTCTCACCGCATGTCCCGCACATTGGAATGTACGCCTTTGCCCTCCTAGTAATCCTCATGTTCCTGTGCGTCGCCGGACTCCACGTTCTGCTTCCCTACGCTGCGCGCAAACTGTTTGGCCAGGAGTACTTCGCTGCTAACTACGGGCTGGTTTTCACAGCTGTGGTGAGAACATACTACATTAGAGTACGCGTGTTTGTGCGAAAAATGCGAAGTACCGACGTTTTCAATTTTCAGCTACCCGGGGCAATGGTTGGCTCGGCGATTTCTACGACTGCCAGCGTCAAACACCACATCATTCACTTGTGTTTTGGATGCGCCGGTGTTTGCTTAGTGGGTAAATACTATCCCTTCAGTGATTGGTCAACGTGGCTTGAATTGATTAACTGTACGCGCCCGCATTTGGCTTCGAACATAAGTGACTCGCAATATCGATTGCACTCTTTAGGAGTCGTTGCGGCTCTGCAACTGCCCAGCCAACACCAACAGGGCCCCAGAACGATCAAGTCGCTGTGCCACAGACGGAAACCACAGGCCGAAACTCGCTAACATTTCGATTTACAACTTGTGCCGGCCACCAATCATCGACGAAGTTCGGACGCACTCTCTTCACCGGGACAACGCAGAATAGCAACGCGCCCCACCGGCCAAGTGTTATTTGACTTGTTGTGCAAATAAAGAGCTGTCTTATCAGGTTTGCAAGCCTATCGAAAATGCGTACGTGGTGAGATGCGACCACTAATGAAACCGATTTCCACTACAGGCACGCCCCCGGGTAACGAAATCGATTTCCAATACAGGCACACCCCCCGGGTAACTGTAGCAACTGTCGCGCGAAACGCAGCACGATAGTGATTTGCAAAAAGACATATGTACACGGTGACGGTTACAAACAGGGCAGACGATGGCCTCGTGGACGGTTCTCAGAAGGCGCAGCGCGTGCGCATGTCTTCGAGGCGTTTCGCAATGTCCGTCGGGGCCTTGTCCATCTCCTCAGCAATGTTGCGCTGCTTCTCCGCGTCCAACATGTTGAACATCTCGCAGAGGTCGCCATCGATTACATTCTAAAGGGGGGAAAAGGCAGTAAAAGCGGGGTGCAAGTGAGCACGTGAATATGCTAGAGAGGGAAGATGAGGCTAACCTTGCAGGGGTAGTAGAGAGAGCGGTAGTGGAGGTGATCACGGCCAACCAAGGAGATGTTCTCCGAGCGCATGTGAAGTTCCAGGTGCTGGAAGAAGGAGTAGGCGTCTTTGGAGGCGAAGGGAATCAGGATTCCCAAACTGCCCGACAACGTCGAGTACACGAGACCTTCCGAGCCGCCTGGGATCAGTGTGGCCTTCTGCAAACACGTGACGACCTCGCCGATGTAGAAGTGGCACAACATCTGCAATGCAAATCGACGGTGTTTGAAGGGTGGCCCTGGTAATCCCACCTTGGCAGTGTAGTACGTGGGCCATCCACCTTACCTCGAGTTTTTGGCTGGCCCCGCCGAGAGCGTTTCTGTCCCACAGTGAGCGGTTTCCACTGGGATCTTCCTCGACGTTGTCGTTGACGTTGGGAGGCAGGCGGAGGATGATCACGTTGCCGAATTTGTCGGCCACGGCGGCGGTAGAGTTGTCTAGCACGGCCACGTGGGTAATCCAACGGGGGCTGGCGTCGTCCGCGAAAATAACCATCTGGTTGTCTGAACGAGGTCGGTAGCGCACCCAGAAGAGGCTCTCCTGAACGTCTGTTACGATAATCCGATGGCCGATCCCGTAGATGCCATTTATCAGGTTGGGGAAATGCTGAGGTAAGATACAAAACAAACCGTTTGATAGCTGGCGTTGTCCCGAAGCCAGTGACAAAGACGTCGACAGGCATTAAGTTCGATTTTAACTCCAAGGCTACGCACACATCGATCGTAACACAACGGAAGGTACCGCACTTTGATGTCAAGAGGCAACGAGAGGGGAGGGGTGGAGAATCGGGACAGGACTTACCCGATTTTCACTCTTTTTCAAGAGCTTCTTCTTGCCCATGTCGTAGAGACGCAGGCGGTGTCCCACACCGGCCAGCAGGCGGCCCTGGTAACCACACAGAGCAGCCGGGTAGTCCTCAACGGGGGTGTCGTGGACGAACTCCAGACGATCGCCGATGGACGTCGTACGATACGTGCGCAGAATGCCGCCTGAGCAACTGCGCGGATTGAGGACCAACTCCTTGGACAGCGCAACAATCACGAAGTATTCGCCAGGGCTGATGACGGGAGAGGCGAAACGCAGTAAGAGGAGGGCAAAAAAACAAGTCCAAAATGAGACTGTTTCATGTACGTCACCAGTAAAGCCTTGTAACGGCACACCTGACTGCCACTAGTGCACATCATACAACTAGAATTGAAAGCATCGACACGCACATCCTGTTTGGCTTCGCAGAAAACAGTACAATCTCGCTTAAATTTGTGGCTACTCGGATCCAAGGGTGAATTGTCAAGGAAGCACAATTTAGACAACTCACCGATTAGTGAACGTTGCCATGGTGATGGCGTGGGCGGCCTCGTTCTGAGCGAATCGGCAAATCTGCAGGGTGTCCCCGGTGAGGGGATTGAGCAGTCGCAGCAAACTCGCCCACATTCCCGGGCCAGCCTTCGGGGCGCCGAACACGGACTCCGGCAGCGGGCGATTCAGGAATCCAGCTGCCACGGCTCGAGCCTGCTCTTTCTCGTGTTCGTCGACAACTGAGGCGATGATTCGCTGAAAGTCAAGGTAGGAGGATGGAGCTTTTGCACAAAATCACGCAAAAGAGCAACTGGCTATCACTGAGAGCGTCCAATGAATCACGAGGAACAGGGAGTAAAGAGCACTCCCGACTCCCATGCCGTGATTAATTGACGTGGACATCGAAACTGGTCGCACACCCAGAACGGATCAGTGACAATGCCTTGGAACATCCTACGACTTCGGTAACTTTGTCTTTGACTAAAACACACAAACGCCATCTGCCTACCTCACTCATCTCCCTACGCCTCTCCTCCTTGACGTCGTCGGTGAAGGTGTTGTGGTCGGTTTCTATGACGAACGCCATGTTCGATTCGGGATGGAAGACGAACCTCCTTGGCGTGTACTGAAGCATCGTGGTGGTCTGGTTGAACACTGCACCCAACTTCTCCAAAGCCAAAATTCTGAGGGACACGGAAAAAAGTTCAGCTATGAGTGCGTCTAGCCATTTGTAAATCACGGACCACCAACAAGCCATGGGAACGTACCTCAGGGAGTTCTCGCAGATGGCCACAATGCCTTCGGGACACTGTTCAGACGAGAATCCAGACGCGAATTCCAGGGTTTCGTAGGACAACGGAATGATATGGAAGCGACTCTGGTATGTGTAAGACAGCCAGGATCGGCTTGAGACGGCCAACACAGCCTCGCCTCCTTGCATTGAGACTCGGAAGAGTTTCACAGGGCTTGTACCGAGGTAGCGAGTTCTGGTGTCCGAGAGTTCGCCGGTCACAGGGTCCAGCACGACACGGAAGAGCACGCCGTTATTAAGGCCAATGTTGAGGTAGAGAATACCACCACCACCACCACCACCGATACCTTTTTCGGATTCACCACCACCCATTTCAACTATGCACAGCGATTCGGCGGCTGTGGGAAGACCTTGCATTGTCAAGGGAGATAGACAATCCTAGGACAAAGCATGGGGTTAATGGGGCATTGAAAACACTTCTAAGACTGGGTCAAAATTGCCTTGGTCAAAAGGCTACTTACGTAGGATTTAGGTAAATCGAAACCACAGAACCGTCCTCTACACCATACTCACCGAGGGATCCAGTGATAGAATGCGAACGGTATTGTCTGCCAGGCCGACAGCCAAAAAGCGGGAGCGCTGTTCATTGGCTGGAATACGTCCAAGCGCCATGCAGATGACATCCGCTGGCATTTCCTTCCTTTCCGTATACTCATTCAGCTGGCCAGTTGCGTCCATTTCGAAGTACACCAACTCACCACCAGTCAGAGCAATGACTACTTGTCGCCTATTAACGGCACATCGCTGAATGGTTTTCTTTCCCGGCGTCCGCCACACATTTATCCGTTTGTCGGCGCGTATGTGGCGTATACCATCGGGGTAGACTTGCACGAGAGCATCGTCACCCAGCTGCGAGCAGGTTAATGTTGGTGTTGTGCCGAGAAACCCAGAGTCAGTCACTTCTTCAACAGTCTCACCAATGGAGAGAACGAGAGTGGCGTTTACGAATGACACCACGATGAAGGAATCGTACTCCTCTACAAGTTGGCAGGATTATTTAACAAAGGCGTGCTACTTCGTACCTTCTGAGTTGCGTTTTACCGTCCACACCGCGTTGGGACTACCAGGAAGATCTGACTTCGCCATTTCCGTAACTTCTAAGCCATGACGAAGAAGTCGGAATGTTGATCGCGGGCCTCTGCCGCAGAGGACTGCCATTTGTGGGGTATCTTCGTTGGCTAGGTCAGCGATCTACATCAATTACGATCAAACACTTGAAAGCTTACATGGAGACCTGTGATAGGAGAGAGACTTTCGAGGGTGTCAACTTCGATTAGGTTTTTCAGTGGACGAGGATTAAAGTAGAATGTGTCTCCCTCCTCTAGTGGCATTGCTGATGAGAACTCAGGTTCATCGTCATTATCGCCTAGATGAGCAATCTGGTAAAGATGGCTAAAGAAAAGTCGTATGAGGCAAAGATTAGACGTACTGATTCCCAAACTCAGACGCAACAAACAAGAAGCCCGTTTTTAGGACGCACATAGCAGATGCAACAGGGACAGTGTCAAAGTACTTGAGACGAATCTCAGTAACTGTTTCCTTGTCTTTCTCGAGGTTGATTTTAAAAATATCACCCTGTTCGGTTTGAGCAAGGAAAAAGAAGAGGTTCTAGGGAAAATGTGACATATTAACCTATAAATTACCTTCGTTCTGTGAGTTGCGCTACAAACAAACAGAAGACCCCGATCCGGATCGTCCAAGTCGTTGCGTCGTTGAGGAATGGGACACCGAATGTCCGGCTCGTCACCAAAATTCTTGTAGGTAATATAATTTTCGGAGCAAATGAGGATACCGGAGTGAACTTCGTTCCCACCAGGTACAGTAATCAAGAAGTTAGCATGCTCTTCTAAGGGTTCTGAGTACTTGCGGACTACGTGGTTTAGACCAAGGTCCAACTCATAGTAGGTGAGTAACTGGTGAGCAGATCTTGCAGCTTCGCCCGTGGAGTCCTGATCCGCCTCCTCATAATCCATCTCTATGCAAGCAAATGTCGGATTTTCAAAACCAACGTCAACTCCAACCATGTGATATACAAGGGTATTTGACTTGTGAGCTTCCAAAGGTGACGAGATTGTAAGTCTTGCTTGAGAATCTCGATTCATAACATAGACAAGTTTTTGCTTCTCTACAGCACCGACCATGAGAGCGCGACCCTTGGGATCAATTGCAAGGTACTGTCCTGGTACAATACGACGGCAGCCGCTTTTGCCGTAGGTTTCTTGTTGCACTTTTTCAAATACATTTTTTGAAGGGATGTACTCAAGAATGACGATACGACCAGAATCTGATCCGATAACAATATAATCTGCAACAAATAGTGATATAAAATACAAGCAAACCTTTTCCGCCACCAGTTAAACGAAATGGCATCAGAGAGCGGACAATACCGAACACTTCAGTAGTGAGCAGCGTGTAAAGTTTACCCGACGTGGCGTCAACACGCATAATCTCCAGTATCTTTCCTTTCGCAACCACGATTTCCTGTTGCTTAGTGCCGGAGAAACTACCATTGATTGCGTGTGTGATACCAGATGCTTTTTGTAGGCTTAAGTTATACAAAAACATGTTTGAACGAAACCAACAAAAATGATGGCGCGAAAATTCGCTTCGAGCTGGTACGAAAAAGATACTTAAAACAACCGTACGTTTAAAGGGCAGGGATAGTTCATTCCTTTGAATACTAATGTTACTTATTTGCAACATTTATAAAAACTTTCAATGAATTCAGTCACAATTAAATAACGTATGGACACTAATAAATGGAAAATATTATAAACTGACTCATATTTATAACCGATAAAGCACCTGCCTATAAATTAGGCATATTTGTCTTAGCATTGTTATTTTGGATATAAAAAAACCAGAGTAGTAATTAAATTTAATCAACATTATGCGCCCTCGAATGAAACTTCAACGAGCTGCACCAAAATACTAGGCCAATTATCAGTCGCAACTCTTCACCTAAAAATTTCCACGAGAATGTATTTGAGAAAAAACAACTGTTGTTATAAAATGCCATTCTGTGAGGCACATGGACACATAAATAATAAAAGGTCACTACTAGGAAGGCAAAATTGAGCGATAAACTAATAATGCTATAATTCTACAATATTCTTACAGAGGATTTATATATATCTTAGTTCATTTTACCCCGTTTATTTGGTTAAAGACGCAACGTTTAATATTTAATCATAGTAGTATGAATAATGCCAAACTTTAGTACACGGCTTAGTTTAAGTTGCAAGCCATGAATAACTAAGAATATTTTGATGTTTTCTTCCTTCTGAAAATCATTTTACTCATATGTATATTGCGTCAAGAATGCCTCAGATCAAGACATTTCACCAACATTTTAGTTCAAAATTTTGAACCAGTCTTAATTGAAAGTTAACTGCATTCATTAAACGAATTTTTTTAGTAATCATTACTTATTAGTTCGAACGCCATTATTCGAAAGGAATTTCGAAGAAATCATAAGATCAGAATATGCGCTTCTATGATTAAAAAGCCTAGCGCACTATTTAATATTTGAATTTTTAAATAAATTATCTGCACAAATCTGGTACCGTTAATTTAACTTCCCAATATCGCTGTGTTTGTGATAACGAAGTTGTTCACTGTCCATCCGAGTCCGCCACGCTGGCCACGTCACTCATTATATACTGCACATCATTCGAATCCTTCTCTGGTTGGCTGCTTATCTTCCTTGCATGCCATTGGAACAGAGAGACCAAGGGTTAGCTGTGGCCGTTGTTGTCCAAAATGCCTGCTTCCTAATACGTCGCTACAGTAGATTACCCAAGTCATAGTAGGAAAAAGACTGGTACAACAGAACAGGCTTTATTGACCAATTACAAGCAGGAACCGCAAGTCAGGTACCTACCATCCGAATCCACGACACTGACCACGCTAGTCATAATGCAGCTCATTCGTGTCCTCTGGTTGGCTGATATCTTCCTCGCGTGCCATTTGAATGCTGAGAGACACAGGATTGGCTGAGACCAGGTGGTCCAATATGTCTGCGCGCTGATCCGCGCCACACTGCGCTCACAGCTCAACCCTTTAAAGCACTCTATTTGGGTATACACTTTGTTACCTAAATACCTTTAATGCTTCAAAAGAGACGTAAGTTTGACTTTTAACAAAACATTGGGTATAGGAAAAAGGCGCACATTAAGATCTGGTGTGGTCAGGGGCCAGGACATTGTTAAAAAAGCACATCTAATAGCTAGACGGAACGCTATCACTGTCCCTGTGCCTTTAAAAGCCGATTCACCACCTCGTAATTTTGCCAATTTACTCAAGTCTGATTCATTCAGCCCCCGTCGAGATTCCCGCACACTGTGTTCTCCGAGGTTGTGATAGTCTCGGACACATTAATGGCATCGACCAGAACCACATTACACTTTCGGCCTGTCCGCAATTTCATAACGTTTCGGTTAATTATTTCCGTGAAATGCGAGAGCGAGAGGAGGGCTTAGCCCCTGGCAAGGTGATGCCAGCTCGCAAAATAACACCTGGAAAGCAACCTGTCAAAATTCGCGAACCCAAGTTAGACGACCTAGCCTCCAGTGTACAGATATACCAATTTCGTCGCGCACAGCAAAAAATGCTATCGGATAAGGTAAGATTTTGCTTTTTTTACGTCTACACCGCAGTCTTTGTCATCCTGAGTGCTAAGCAGTAGTGGGTTTGCGTTATCCTTACGTACATCAAAATCATACCCGTGGTTTTTTCAGTGATTTACTTTTTCTCACAAGTCATCCATATTTTTTTTGGAAAAATGTGAAGAATTCATGCACTTTATCCGTTCAACTTCAGGAAAAAGAAGTTCATGAACATTTAATAACTCAAGTCAAGTTGCGTGAGATGGAGATGGCTTCCAAGCCACTTAAACAGCAGCCGGTAACTCTCACCACACCTCTTCCCCCCTCTGAATCGATCAGCTATTTGGAGCACAACATCAAAACGATCGTGTTTGGCGAGTGGGAGATGAATACGTGGTACACGAGCATGTATCCCCCTACTGTTGCCTGTCTCCCGCGCATCTACATTTGCGAATTCTGTCTATCCTACATGCCATGCAACGTGGGCTACCGCCGCCACAGAGTAAGTGCCGTATTAGAGTAGATCTTGGCGTTTTGATGCGCGTTTTCTTATTTACATAAAATGTCAAAGTACACACTAACTAGCATGATGTGATGCGTTTTTGGAAAACTAATCCAATGCGCCATTTAAAGCCCAATTTTTACGTAGTGTTTGGTTTTTTTTCCACTCGAAATGAGCTCTTTGGGTCCCATACTAACTCGCTTGCATGTATTTCCGCCCAAATAGCTTCGTTGCAAGAGAAAGTTTCCTCCTGGGAATGAAATTTACCGCAAAGATGGGCTCTCTTTCTTTGAAATCGACGGCGCACTGCAAAAAGTGAGTTTTTTTGAGAATGATTATGAAAGAAAAGACAGTGGTTCTCCTTGTTTCGTGTGATTTTGGCTCCGCTTTTTCCCATTTTGCTACACGCTGACCTTGTGAGTAAATTTTTGTCCGTCTTTAGGGTATAACTTACCTTTTAGGTATTAAGTAGAATAAATTTATCAATCATTTTCAGGAATACTGTCGCAACCTGTGCCTCCTGGCCAAGTTGTACCTAAAGCAGAAGACGGTCTACGAGGTTGAACAGGTCCCAGCCTTCCTCTTCTACGTTCTTACCGAAGCCAAGGAAACTGGTTGTCACATTGTTGGCTATTTTTCGAAGGTAACATATCCTGATTTTGGCTTTTGTCTGCTTTCCTCGGCTTGAGGACAGTTTCCTCTCCAGTCTACACTACTGAACACAAATTCAGTAGTGTGCTGTTTTCAGCACAAGAAATTCAAGAGTCCAATGCATGTTTCTCAAGGAAGGGCTTTACGACAAACCGGTTGAGACTATGGACGATCCGGAGGCTCCAAAGCTTCACCGATAGTAGCATGGTTGAGAACACTAGGGAGCTAGTGGCCGAAAACTCCACCAATGATGACCATGGCATTTCACCAAGCATTGTGCCGTTAGAAACCGCGAACCGGCGACTCTGTAATGTGTCGCTGTTTTTATCTAGGCATTTACGCTTTGTGTGTGTGTGTGTGCGTGCGTACACACCCACTTCCCCCCACGCCCTGCTAATGGGCTGCCATCGGGCCGAACGAGCTTTTAACTCCGCCGCAGTTGATGTTCTGTGCTCCGGCCAAAGCAGGGCCACATTTCATCGTCGTTGTCGTCGTCGTCGTCGTCGCAGTGCCTCCTCATCGGTGCCCCGAATGTCGCCATTAAGGCAAACACACACCCCCCCCCCCCTCTCTTGCAGGTTGGGTGTGATGCATTCGTTCACCCACGCATTCACACTCACTTTACACACACGTGGGTGGGTGCTGTTTTTTCGGTTAAACTGTCACTGCGTGAGTCGACACTCAAGCAAAAAAAGGCAACTCGTCTCTCGGCGCCTGTACTGTCTTCTTATTTTTTTTTTTTCTACGCGTTTGTAAGCGACACGGCCAAGTACGGCGTTGTGATTGGCTCGACGCTCGGACTCGAACTCATGTCGGACCAATAGACGGTGAGGGGTGATCGTTGCGTGTGGGTTTACGCTTAAGGGGCAGCAAGTAATCAGGCCCGAAATGCAGTGCGTTTTACGTGGCAAAGTTAGCCAATGTCCATGTGCACCGTCTTAACCAGACTGCAAGTTATTCGTTAGGGGGACATCAAGCGAAATTCGTGAATCAGATGCGGCTAAATCGAATTTTCAGATTCCCCTAATTTGACGGATACTTGCATGATTCACATTCCACTGTATCTCAGTGCCCAGTTTATTTCAGATGGCGAAATTTGCAAATTTGAGATTTTTTGGATCTGTATTGACCAATCACGCTGGTGTGCTAAGACGTTCAAAGCGCGATTTGATTGGACACAATACCTGTTCAATGGTTGGTTGTTCTTGATGTGTACCTCTCTTGGGTAGTTCTCATCTACATCTATTAGTACATCGATGATAATAGTCACAAATTAGCCTTTTTTTGAAATATGCTGTAACGTACACAAGCGTGTGCTCGTTTACGGAAACATTTGGACGCCAAAATAGTGATTACCCCAAGGTTTACTACTAGAGAGCTGTGCTTAGTGTGGACGCTTTGCGTTTTAGCCCTTGAATTCACGGAAATGTCCGGTTCTAGTTGTAGTGGCCACTTTCAGCCAATAGTTTTGCACTGCACAACTTATTGGTGTCAAATGAAACGGGAATCGCAAGTGTTCGGAACTCCTTAATTTGATGTTGATGCTGCTGCCGCCGCTGCCACCGCTGCCACACCCATGCACACGCACGAAACTGGGCTGGTTGATGTTGCGGCGTTTTGGGCGCGTCTTAGTCGTCAAACTCCACCACCCACCCACCCACTTCACTCCACTCTACCCCTCTGCGCCTCCCACCCCACATCACCTGACTTTTTCCCACATTTATACCGTCTTTTCGGCTTCTTTCTTCGTCCGAACCGCTGAATCGAGGTTGGCCACCGGCAAGACATGCGAGCACCATGCTTCTGATGAGTAAATTGAGTAGCATTGTCCGTCAGTAGTGATGTACTGGCTCTACGGCAGTATGAAGTGGTCCCCCAGAGGTCAAAGGTCAGCATTTCCCTAACACGATTGGGTCTATGAGGCAAGGAGAAGGCAGGGAAAAGCAACGAGATCTAGCCTTCGCTGAAGTAGTTTAGAATTTCTTACTCAGCTTGCCCGCTGAAGAGAAACAAGATGTGGGTAGTAGGTCGAATTTTGTGTCAACGCGCACACATTTCCACCCACGCAGCCCGCCATCTTTCTGGTCATTCTCGTGCTAACCTTAGCTGGGTGTTGTCTCTTCAGTGTGAATTCGATCGTTGTTGGATTCCTAGCACTTTGTCGATTTTCCGGGTGTTCCACATGGGGCTTGCCATGACCTCCCAGGTCAAAACTAGAGTCCCTGAAGTGGTCATTTCGAGTGCTACCGATGTCGCACCGCCAAATCGCGCTTCACTAAATTGACACCCAAGCAAACTTGCCAAACCCACGTTACCGACTATCACTAGGGTTACGTCGTCGCACCACGTTGGTTGGCGTATCCTAGTGAGACGATCTTCGTCCGCTTGTGGCCACTTTTCCCGTCTGTCCGGTTTTTTTCGTGTCCCTTATATGTGAACAGCCGCAATCGTTGTTTGGCTAGCAGGATGCGAAATCTGCTCGCCCAAGGATACACCTTTTTGTTCGCCCTTTCAGCACAAAGCCGAGGAACAAGCCCTGCCACCAGCAACCTTTAACAACCTCTCCTGCCTGCTTATACTGCCGCACTACCAGAGACAAGGATTCGGACGCATGCTCATCGAGTTCAGTACGTTTTGTCTGTCCGTAACCTAGTTCAGTGGTGTCAGATTGATTGTGGAGTTTTTTTTAAATAATCAACTAGGCCTTCAGCCGTGTCGGACCTCTGCAATAGCCGAAGTAGTTCTACCTGAGTCGGTGTGAAGTGTTCAGTGTGTGTTGCTTCGACTCAAGCAGCATAGAGTCGAGGCGGGCTGCCACACTTACGAGTAGCGTGGAAGTCACTTAAGATCAACTAGCATACCATTATGCAAGGCCTTTTTTCCCGGATGTGTGCGTAATGTAGCGAGTATGCGAAAAGAAGAGCATTAGCGAGCTTTTTTCGTTGCCTATTATCCTCGTCGTACAAATGGACCTTTGATTGGCGGCTGACGGGTGTTCGCAGTCACGAATTAGCGTTGCTTCACTTAATAATACTGCCTGTCCACTTCACCTTCTGTGGAAGGTGTCTCTGCTAAGCGGATGGCGTCCATTTGCTTCAACGAGCACGCCGTGTTTTGTAGTCTAGCAACCTGATTGGAAAGATTTTCGGCAGTCTGTAGTTCATTGATGCTGGGGACAAGTGAACAGGATATCTGACAGCGAAGGTGCATGAATACTGTGCTGGTTGTAATTGAAGCTGGACCCAAACAACATTGTCTCCGATTGAGCAATGTTGGAAGCAAACGACCACGTGCCGCCAAAGTTGAGGTCTGAGTTCAGTTCACCGATCAGCTGTTGGGAACCGGACGACCAGCTGATCGGCGTGGCGACGTTTCACAGTAACTGCCCACTTCGACGTCTGTAAATCCCAAAGTCAAGCATAGTCGACTTCAAAAAGACGCCCAAGATCTATTACCCAATCAAACTCGTGTCGTTCTGCAGTTCAATGACGCGTTGCCTCATTGTCTCAAGAAAACTGGCAACTGTTTACTTTTTTTTTCAAGTCAATGGACCATTTCCGGTGTGGGAACAAAACAGCTGATACAGTAACCACCGAAATTACTCACCATGGTTATTTACCCTCATTGTACAAAAGGGGAACGTGAGAAGACCTGTCACTTGCCGCGCTAATCGAACCACACCTGATCGTCTTATGCTTCATCTCGTGTGTTTTTTGGGTGTGTTTAAGCACAATCTAAAATTCAGTGAATTGCGTGTCCACAAACCAATGGCTGTTTATTTGGTGTTTCCATGGTACTTTGGGCAGCCCGTCTGTGTGTTCAGACAGTTAGTGCGGTGCGAACGCTTGACGTCAAATTCACGGAGATTTTAATGCAGGCGACGGCATTGTCGTAATTTTAATGTGCCGACTCCCAAAGTCACGACACGCCTCGTTTTTGCGGGTTAATTTGCAATGCTGTTTATAACACCAACAGATTGTCGATTTCTAATAGACTGCTCCACATGGTGACGTGTCTGGTCATTAAAGACTAGGATATACTTGTATTCCGTGTTTTTTTGTCTTAGAAGTAAACTCGTTCACCATGTGATGAAACAATGTTGCTAAAAAATGGCGGTTTTAATCGATTCTCTTTGTTCTCTGAGTCGCCGTGCGGCCACCATTCGTCCCACCAACAAACCAAGCAATCCCGCTTGATGCTTGCGTGCATCTTCGCAAACATATTGGTTTTATGGCCTTTTAGTGTGCTCGCATCAGTCGATTAAGGGTTGGCGGACGTCCGTTATGCAAATATTGCCCATTTCCTTTCCACCATAACTTGCCGAAAGTTGCTATTGCTTTTTTGTTGGCTTAACTTCGAGTCAGTCGGCGTTGCGCACGCCACCGACCCCGGGTTCGAGTCCTGCCTGCCTCTAGATTATAAAACCATCCTTGCCACGGCCTTGAGGTGACTTACCTCCCCCTTCCCCTTCAGGCTACGTGCTTAGTTGTGTTGAAGGTCGCGTAGGATCGCCAGAGCGTCCCCTTTCCGACCACG